TTTTGATACCGACTTTGTACAATGTTGTTGTTTCACTGAGTAATGAATTAATCTGGTTGGTGCCAAGCTTCGTGACATACCTGACCTTTGTAAAATATTTCCTTTTGTAATCACAATCCCTCTCCCATTATAACCAGCCCAGACTGGCAGGCTGGAAAGTTAACTTAGAATCAAAATACGTCCACAAGTCGATTACAGTTCTGTGGTCTAATTTATTGGTCCCATGTTTCACTGTGGATGAGAGGAAGGAGGAAGAACTTGCATTTTTATAGCACTATCTTTGTTAAAATGCCTCAAAATGAAATTATTGGGCCATTTTTATTGGAAAATGAACAGCCACTTTGTGCTCAATAAGACCCAAGAGATGAATGACCAATTTTATCTGGACAATAAAAACAGAAGTTGCTGGGAACACTCAGCAGGTCAGGCAGCATCTATGGAGAGAGCTAACATTTCAGCTCAATGACCTTTGGCATTTTGTTTTATCTGGACAACTCCTGGCCAGGACACTGGGAGAAAGAGTTGGGTCACTATAACTCTTATGACAGTAACTTTTTAAAAGGCAAAACCACAGGCATTTTACTGTAGGGAAACTTATTGGCCAGGACACTGAGAAAAACTTCCTCTTGTTTCCATAGTGTCATGCGATCTTTATCGTTCACCTGAGGACACGCAGATGGAATCATCTCGAGTTCTACACCTCTGACAATGTGCCGCTCCCAAGTCACTTGAGTGCAACCCTAAACTGTGAGCTCAAGGCCTGGTGTGCTGATCGAGCCTATAACCTAAGTCTGTAAGAAAATCAAGGGCCGTGATTTTGTTGCAGAAACCGCAAACCGAGGTCCCTTCTGCCTATTCAGATGGAAGTTAAAGATCCCCTGGCACCATTCGAAAAGAGAAAGGAGTTTCTCCTGGTGTCTTGGCTAACAATCCCTCAAGATAAAATTGGTCACTCGTTTCATGGCTGTGTTCAAATTCTGCTGCCATGTTTGCCTACAAATATGCAGTCACTCCATTTCACAGCATAGCTTGTAAAAGCACTTTGCGATGTCCTTCTGACATGATAAGACCCTATAGCTAACACAAGAATTATTGTTATAACTTTTAACACATATCACAACATTTTATAGTAGTTGCAGCTTTTGAATGACTACAGTGAGTACACACTTCCATTGGACCATCCACCTGTCCATCAACCCATCCTGTGCTCTCATTGCACCATGCATCTGTCAGTAGGATGGTCCAATGCGAGTGCAGAATGGGTTGATGGTCTAATGGGAGTGTGTACTCATTGAGGTTACTTGAACTGACTACACCAAAATCTCTTATCCATTATGCAGGGAAATTGAATTGTTGATTTTAATTTCCTTCTTTTGTCTCCTTCAAGACCCATCTCAAGAATTGACAGTGTGTATTATGAAGCAGCTTCCCTCTCCTGCTGACCCACAAGTACCCTTTGTGTGTAATGTCTGGGACCCAACATACCTAGTGTCTGGGATTGATATCTTCTCTGCCAGAGAAGTGCTAAGGTATTGTGCAGGTGCAATGGCAGCTGAGTGGATCTCTGTTCACATGTTCGCCAAAGTAATGTTTGTGATGTGTTCTATATGATACATAGCTCACATGCAAATCTAGATTCATCCGAAGAGAAGGTGTACAGCAGGAATGCAAAACAATGCTCCAATAATTGTAGCAGTGGAGCTTTAAACAAGGATATTGACACCAGCTAATATGCAAAAGAAAAACACCAATGCATATACTCGGTAAAGGAGGCCCTTTGGCTCTCGTGAAACCTTGTGTTCTTCTGGCAGAATGAGGGGATGGTGAGGGCCTGCCTCAGGCTTGCACATGCTAGGATCAGGGACTATTTACTGAGGGACAAGCTGAAGTTCGGCTCAACCACGGCAAAGGCCAGATGGGGCCTGACCCCGGCAGGAGCTGCTCCGGAACAACTCGTTCAGGCCGCGAAGCCCACAAGCGCACCCAAAACAGACTGAAGTGAGGGTACAGAAGAACGCTTGAGATGTAACCAAAGAGTGTCCCGAAAATGTATGTACGGTAAACATGTGCTCGTATTGTGCACATTGGGGCACCTTCCGAAAGCGGCAAATGCGCCTTATCAAGGTGTGTGCAGGCGCACACATGGCTGTGGTGCATACAGGGGCGACTCGCGACTGTGTTAAAGGCAGCATCCAAAAAACATCTGCACAACCTTCGTGCGGGGAAGGATTGTACCGTAAACAACGGAATGTTTCTTTGTATTGGGAGAAAAGGGAAAAATTGTAACAAAAGATGTTTGTGTTTGGGGTTCCTGTTGTACTAAATATTATATTTATAAATAAATATATATTTTCCAAAAAAAGTCAAATGTGGTATTATTTCAATACAGATAAATGCAGGCTGCTACATGCAGGAAAGTAACAATAAGAATAATCATTACATTCGGTACAGCATTGACCAGTTTAGGAGGACATATCCAAACTCTTCACAGGATATACTCTAAAGTGGAGTGAGTTTTGCGGGCAAACACAGATGCCAATTTGCACGCAGCAATGTCCAAGTAACATCCATGACTGAAAGACCAATTTTATTTGAGGGTTTATTGGTTCGGACACCGGGAGAAACTCCCTTCTTTGAAGTAAAACCAGGAGGCATATATATATTCTTCATCCTTGAGCATGACGTTTGTGGGTTCAAGCCTAACATCAGCAGTTTGAGCTCACAGTCAAGGTTGACTCCAGTGTTGCAAAGTATTATCCACCTGACCAGAGAAAGTTGTAAAGTATTTAAAATCCATTCACTCTCTGGCACCTCCCTACCTCTCCGACCTCCTCACTCTCCAATCCACCACTCGGCACCTCTGCTCGACCGGCACCGGCCTCCTGCTCGTCCCTCGTACCCTCCTCCCCACCATCGGAAGTCGCGCTTTCATCCACTACACCCGGAAACTCTGGAACACTCTCAATCCCTCCGCCTTGCCCCCTTTCTCCCCTTTTCAAGTCCTGCTGAAAACCTTCCTTTTAGACCCTGCTTATGGCCACCTCTCCCCCACCCTCGGCTCGGAGTCAGGCTCCGCCACCGTTAAGCACTCTGAGACGCTACCCTGTGTGGAGAGCGCTATATAAGTGCAAGTTGTTGTTGTATTATTATTTGATGCTTTACTTTGGATGAAGCACTAAATCAAGGACTCGTCTGCCTGTTCAGGTGGATATTAAAGACCCCATGGTGCTATTCGAAAAAGAGAAGAAAGTTTCTCCTGCTGTTCTGGAAATAAAAAATAATTGGTAATTCACTCTATGGCTGTTTGTGGGACATTGATATGTTACTGCCTGTAAATAAGGTCTCTACACTTAACAGAAAACAAGTTGAAGCACTTTGAGATGTTTTGATGTGATAAACCACTATATCAACTGCAAGGACTATCATTATATTTTTTCCATGGCTGCAGCAGTTGGGAAATTTCCGGGAACTCTAAAATACTGCTTTATTACCCCTAAATTCTGCCCCTGACCATATATATACACAAATGATTGTTTAAACTGACATAATATTAATTGTTTTAGCTATTAGTCTATTGCACACATCCATGATTCCATGGGCCAAAAACAATTCTACTGAGATTTGTTTGAGGTTCATTAATTTTAAATTTGTGTCTTCTGGCTCACAATGCAAAGTAAATAATGTGCTTGTTCTATTCCTTTTATCTATTTTTGAAACTTCAGTCTTCTTTCTTCTCATCTTTTTCTCTAATGAAGGGGCTTAGCAATGATTATTACTGTTCCGATTGCCTGCCAAAGTTAAGATAAAACCCAGTCGATTCAAAACAGGTTGATTGGCATACTTGTCTGTTGTTGTCCCAACCCTGCTCAAAGTGCTTCAAAAGCTTTGTAGTCCTAATTTAGGACTGGTATTTTATAACTACATAAATACATAACAAAACTTCCTAGCAATTCCTTAGAGAGTAAAATGTAACATTTTCATATCAGATTTATGCTGAATCTCTTCTGATAATTGCTGTATTGAATCTGTTATGAAATTTCACAATTTTATACCCCATAATTAAACATGTAAATAACAGTGGCAATAAAGTTCATTGTTTTCATACTTTCTCTGGTGCTTCAATTCTATGTTTGTAGCCGTGTTGTCAGCCTGACTCAGTTGGTTGCACTGTTGCCTCTGAATCAGAGGGTTGTGGGTTCCAACCCCACGTTGAGACTTTGAACTCACTAATTCTAGATTGACATTGCAGTGGAGGGGGTACACTACAAAGTGAAGGGTGTTTCTCCTGGTGTCTTTGCCAATAGTCCCAAGATAATATCATCATTCACTTCATGGCTATTTGTGGGATGTAGCTGTGTGTAAATTGACTGCTGGATTTACCTACAAAATACACAGCAGTCAGCTTTACAATAAATCCTGTGAAGGATTTTGAAATGTTCTCCTGATGTGAAAGGGACTATGTCAAATGTAAGGGATATCATTAGTGTTGGGGACACATGCAGGAAAAGGAATAAGGACGTACTATGCCAATTACATTATACAAGAGCTCTGGGAGTATGAGAAATTGGTGTAAACAAAAGATTGTGAGGAAAACTGGTTCAGCCCAGTTGACATCGAAAAGCCAAGAAAATGTCAAGAGAACGTCAACAATTCTGCCTGGCATCAATATTTGTCAAAAAGTTACGGGCATCTCCTCAAAACTGTTAACCTTCTCATGGAACGAGTTTGAAGTTTAATTGCAAATATCATGTTTGTTCCCTAAAAATAAGTGAAGTAATAATTGAAGATTCCTCATGATGTTCTTTTGAATTTTCCCACACTCCCCTTTCTCTGCTGCAAGCCACCCAGCTGACATTTGTCAAACTGGATGCTATTTATTAGGTCATGGTTTCAGTTCTACTCTTTGATTTGTTGAACTGCTCGCTTGAGGAGGCTACATCAACAACCCAAGCTACAAACTGTCAAACATCAGTAAACAATAGTGGCAATAAAGTTCATCTGTGGGATGAGAGGACACAGAATGATTCTTCCCTCACAGTTCTGTCTTGCATCATAAGGTAAGAGGTATTTTCAAGCTGTGTTTGGATCTATGGTTAGTTAAGTATCTACAATGTTAACTTTTGTATGTTACTCCCTGTTTGCGGGTTGTTAAATGAGAGAGAGGGAAACCTACAAGGGAGATTTTGAGGTCCCGAAACCTCAAGTGTCATTTATAAACTACATTGTGGTTGTAATTCTAAACTCTTTGAACTATTTACCTAGCATTACATTGGAAGTTATATCTTTCTAAGCGTGTTTCTGGGCAAGAGCCGTTCAACAAACATTTAAGATGTATTTTGTTTTAACCCAGTAAAATATAATTTTGATAAGTGTTCTTCAGTATGCGTCTTTGCATATTTTTCTTAAATTTTAGTTATTTGACTGATATTCAATCTGTATGAACTATTGGAGTGAAAGATATGATATTTCATTATAGGTTTGACCGTGATTACACTGAATCTGTTATGAAATCGTGCAATGTTCATCCCACAGTGATTGGAATTTAACATCTGAGAACCTGGTTACTGATAATTAATCGTGAGAGACAGACCAAGAACACAAGTAAGGACCCTAAATTATTTTATGCAAAATGTATCAAACGTTCAAGAAAAACAATAATTTTCATAGAAGTGATTTACACATCGAAAAATTCACATGGAAAAATCCCCAGTGAACGTTGCACCCCGCCTGGATTCAAAGAGTTAACACATGTGTTTGTTTCATCTGGTTACTATGGTCATTATTTATAACTGTGTGTTTCTGTCTTTTAGGAGTCATTGAACTTTTTGTGGACATTATGAACAGTGGGCTGTTTCTGTTTGTGATCCTGGTTGGCCTTCTCTTCCCATCCTTGCTCAGATCTGGAGAATCTCAAGCAATAGCAGATGAATCGTGTTCTGTACAGATCCTAGTCCCAGGTCTGAAAGGTAGGTGTATTCAATTTACAAGGCTGTCGCTCGCCCAGTCACACGGGACTACATTACATTGTGTTGTGCAGCTGTACTCATATGACATGAGGAGAGCAACTTTCACTTATGTAGCACATTAGTTGCAGAATGAACGCCTTGAAGTGGCTCACAAACAAATTTAAGAGTGTTGACCAACCAGTCAGAGATTTATGGTTTTATTCGTGACCTGTAGGAAGTACTATTACAATTTATTGAGGGTGCAAATCAAATGACGTCAATTTGCTCCCCACTCTTTCTTCATGAATCAGCAGTGCTCAGAGATGAGCTACTGAAACCAGTGGGACGAGCTCCGTAACCACTGTCATACTTAATGTTTCGTGTCACGTTCATGTTGATTTCCTCTCAAATGCTGCCACTGAACATGAAGAGGATATTTGCTGGCTCTATACTTTCCGAGCACATCATTGAGGCAGTGAGAACAGCTTCTGTTGTGGGCTTATGAGGGATTAGAACCTCTGGTTCCTATCTGACCCCGTGAGTGTTGGCAACACTCCCGAACCCATTGCATGTCACGGCACATGTCAGCCTGAGTGTTACGCTATATTATCAGTGAACGGCACCACACAGGTGGACGCTAAACATTACGTATCTAGCCTGGCTGAACACCACAAAGGCCGTGCTTACTTCGAATTGTGTGTGGCACTATCTGTGGCAGCACGGCATATGTGTTCATGCACCATACATGAGGTGGCGTGCTACATGTCTGAGTGAATAAATATACTCTGTGGTGCTATTGGCATTCGAAAGAAAGGCTAGCATGTCTCTAGTGGTAACTGGGGTTGTAATACTGTTGATTTTCCTGACTTCATTGCTGAGTTGGATGTCCTGTTGTGTCTGCAAAAAAGAGATCCAACTTGATAATAGAAAATGTGGACATTGTGAGATCATTGCGTAAGTATCATGTTGATGACAAGCTGCTCATGTACACACAAAGCAATTTTGGTTAATAATAATCCTTACATATCAGGAGGACATCTCAAAGTGCTTCACAGGGTATAGTATAAAGTGGAGTGGCTGTTTGTGTTGTGAGCAAATACCCAGTAATGGAATAACGTTACCTTACAGTAATAACAGTAAGGGAACAGTAAAAGTACCTGGGAGCAAAGCATCTCGCAGCCTCCGTCACTAATATTTAAGTCACAGTTACCAAAAAGCATGTTTCTAACAGGGCTTTGTTCATTGACGAATGTCTCAAAGCAATGCTTATATGTTGACTTCAATGTGTCAATGCAGGCGTGAACATTATATGTTCCCGAGGTCCAGAGGCCATGTAACAGTACTGGCTTCTCTTCGGGACTCCAGAACAAAAGAAACATGATGGTGGTACAAAATTCAGAGGAAGAAGACAATTGTCGTATTGCGGCAAGCAACTGGCGCAAATGAGATGCAAATCAAATGCATCAAATATGTAAATATCTCTTTAATGTTCTCGTGAAGTGTAAATTCATTTCCTCCCCAGTCTGTCAGGCTGATGTTGAAGTGGCTTTACATTGCAATCTGAATATTAATTTGGTGCAATGAACCTCCAGATCATGCTGCCACATAAAAACAAAATGTACTTTATATGTGTGGAATTTCAGTACATTATTATTAGTGCCTATGCAAATAATGTGAAGTAGGGTTTTCCTTGCTGGGGTGAAGAGTGTGATTTGAGTCAGTGAGAATTGATTATTTTTGTCCCTGATCAGTTCAGGGGAATTTCAACAACAATGGAAGTTCATAGCTTCTACTTCAGCAAATGTAGGTGTGCAATTCATTTCCAGGGCCCTGCTAATGACAAACCACAAGATGACAAGATTGATCTGGCTGAAGAAGACCCTTTTGCCCATCCGATTTCATCCCTTCAGAACACCCACCCTACTGTCCCCCCATCACTGTCATTGATTACCCTCTGCGTAAAGAAGAACTTCCTAGTATCTGTTCCGAAATTGGCCATTACAATTCTAAAGCTATGGCTTCTTGTTCTATTGTCATGATACATCTTAAAGTAATAACCTGTATTTTTTTACCATTCCATTTAAAATGTTACACACCTCTATAAAGTATCCTCTGAGTTGTCTTCTCTGAAGACGGAAGAGCCCTAGCTTGTCCTTCGTTGTTCATAGCTCAATTCTCTAACCCTGGGGATCATCCTCATTGCTCTCCACCTCTAGGTCTTTGACAGTCCCCTTATGTCACGGTGACAACATCTATATCTAGTATACAAGGTGACCACATCACTCCCACCCTCGCTCGCCTCCACTGGCTCCCCATCCCCCAGAGGATCGAATTCAAGATCCTCATCCTCACCTACAAGGCCATTCACGGCCTTGCTCCCTCCTACCTCTCCGACCTACTATCCCCCTACCTACCTGCCCGTACCCTCCATTCCTCTGGCTCTGGTCTGCTCCACATCCCCCGCCCCAACCGCCCTACCATCGGTGGCCGGGCCTTCAGCCTCTCAGCCCCGAGGCTCTGGAACTCTATCCCCCAGTGCCTTCGCCTTGCCTCCTCCCTTTCCTCCTTCAAGGCCGGTCTCAAAACCTTTCTCTTTGACCGAGCCTTCAGCTCCCCTCTCGACTCTCTACCCCCTCCTCGTTCCCTCCCTTCCCTCCCCTCACCCTGACCATTTCCCCCCTGCTCGGATCCTGACCCAACTGTACAGCGCCTTGGGACGTCCTCCCGACGTGAAAGACGCTCTATAAATGGAATCTTGTTGTTGTTGTTGTGATCTGACCAGAGCAATGTACAGCGTAAAGCTGAACTTGGAGGAGTAGACTAAAGGCAGGGATTCTTCACATTCAGCTTCTGTTAATCCTGCAAGCCAAACCCCTTATATGGTGGCCGAGCTGGACACATATAAGAATAATAATAATAATAATATAAGACTTGCCAGACACTGCTTTCAATGGCAAGTTACAAAGCTTTTGCTGGTTAAACTCCAACAGTACCCCCAACTCTGGAGTTCTCTTGCTAACCTGTGTCTGATATTTTTTAACGTTAGATAAAAAGGTATGTTCATTCCAGAGATAGAATGTGCATTCCATTCCCAGGGAAATTTCCATGAGTAGGAGGCATACATGAAACTCTCCATCTGATTTGGATATGCTTAAGCACAGAGATAAGCATCCACACGGTTTTCTTTCAAATTAAAGGATATTTAATGTTCAACCAACTGACCCAAATATTTGGGTGTTTGAGGCAGAAATCCTGGGGGTGTGATAATTATCTCATGGACAAAAAATACGAATAAAACATTTCCTTAATGAGAGGTTTAAACTCAATTCTAAACCCTCTCTCCAAAGCTTTTGCCCAAACTCCCTAACTTGCCAATCTTTTAGGCTAGTGCAGAGTACGGCTGCTATTATTCCTGGCAATGTTTTAACATTGTTTCGCCAGATAATGTCTTACTCTTAATTGCCTGATGAAATGGCTATTAAACTCACCTACTTCTCGCTAGATTAAAAAGCACAGCACTGATATTGAATGTTTAGCAGGTGTAAGCAAAACCATTCACTTGAAGGTGGGTGGGGAAGGGCTGTGTTCAATGCCAAACCAGTCATAAGAAATTATTTAGTTACATTTTCTGACATGTGATAATTTTCACAGCACCATTTCTTTGCAGTATCAACAAGTAGTGGGGAGACATGATGATGTGAAAATTTTCACATTCACAGAAAATTTGATTAATAATTGTGGAAGATTTCAGTAGCCCACAATACAATATAAAATTACATTTGTATTGTACCTTTGACGTTGGGAGGACGTCTCAAGGCGCTGGTAAGATATTCAGGTAAGATATTCAGGCCAGAAGACTATTGAAAATGGAGGGATGAGAGTGAAGGCAATTTTTGCAGGTACAAATAACTAATGTGTTTGCCTACAAAAACATTTATTACACTTGATAATAATTGCCTGCAAATTATTTTGAGATGTCTCATCGTGTTAAGGTGCCTATAAAACGGAGGCTCTTTCTTTCCATCTACGGAATTTGCAGCAGTCCGTCTGCAATGTGAAGTTGGTGGAAACTTTGGTTGCTGATTCCTCATGAGACTAATTTGACTGTTGGCCCCTTTATTTCCTGTAAAGCCCTGATATTGGTGAAACATATCCCCATCTGACAGAGGAGCACTCGCTCTCTGGGGGAAAACAGCTATGGGACAGAACTGCTGTTGTTTCTCTCAAGTCTTTAATTCACACTTTTACGGAAACAAGCTTGCAACTCATCAGTCACATCTTAAAGCTCGATGAATGTGAGACGTTCCCTAATGCCCAAAGAATCCTGAGGCATATGAATGGTAATGGAAAGCTCCAATTAAATCATGGCTGCTTGTCAGTGAAGATGCCCTTGAACCAGGTAGAAGGAACTTTTTTTTAGAAAAGATAGTCTGCGTATAACTCGGCGGGGAGCTGAGCATACCTAGAGCAAATAGGATTCATTAAAACTAAAAAGAAAAAAAAAGACATGCATTTTTTATAGCGTCTCATCATGTCGAAACATCTTAGAGCGATTTTTCCTGCAATTGCTGACAGGTGCAGACCGCTAGACCAAAGTAAGAGCAACTTGTCACTTTGAAAGGTGAGCCAGAAATGGAAAGCGGTATTATTGGGTGAATTCAAGCAGCGGAACATAAACTGGAATACTCAAGCAGGAAGGATAGGGGTTGTTAATATGCTATATGACTGCTTCTTTGCTTAAAAATGGTCGCAATGGCAAGCTGCATGGTCTTAGTTGGTTCCATTCCAGCAGTACTCGAGTGCACGCTCTGAGGACCCTGAGCCTTGATCTAGCTAACCTGCAGCTAATACTCTTCAGGATTAGGTGAGCAGGGGTGAGTCCCTGTATGGAGGGAGTGCTTGCTCCATTTCAGATTCAAATACATTTCCATACATTTGTGGAGCTCTTAGAAATTTGGTTTGGATGCCCTTAAGCTCTTAAACATGTTAATGGGTTTGATGTGTGGTGTGTATTTGATGGCCAGCTGATCAACAAAAGCCCACAAGGGGCTGCTTCCTGTTAGAAGCTTATTATAAAACATAGTTCAGGCTGCTCATACTGTTTGAAACATAATAATATTATTTTCTCCAACTGTAGGATGTTGCCTTGGTTACATTATCCGTACTTTCCATCTAATGACACATTTCATGGCTAAAGTGTTCTAACCACATGGGGGGCCATCACCAACAGGGGAGTGGAGGAAAACAACAACTTGCATTTATATAGCGACTGTCACGCAGGATAGCGATCCAGAGCGTGAAACATATAAATGAGGGATGGGATTCTTTCCCCTTGACTCCTGATAATTCTGCATGTCAATATCCTAATCAGTAGGGTCGTATAGTTAGTCAAGCAGTGGGAAGTTTACCTTGTACTGGTAAGCTGTGTGCTTTTTTGCCAGTTCAATTCTTGTTGTCGCGAATGCTTTGGCTTCCGCCAACACCAATAGCAAGAGGTGCGTACAAATGCCAGGCTTGTGGCTGAGCCAAAGAAAAGAGTGTGTTTTCAAATGGAAAATGCCACTTCATGTTGAATAGAAACACTTCTGGTCAAATCAACTGCAAATTCTTACTGGACAAATCAGCAGCAACTAAATTACACCATCAACTTCTGCATCATATGAAAAAAAACAAGGAATTATATGGAGCCAATATCTGCTCTGGCAGCCTTGAGTTCTGAAGGAGCCTGGATAGCGCAGTCGGTAGAGCATTGGGATTTTAAGAGGCTTACAGTAGTGGTGATCTGAGGGTCTAGGGTTCAAGTCCCCGTTCAGGTACATTGGTTTAGAAAAGTGGGAGTACTTTTCTCCAATTGGATACACAAAGAAAAATAAAATAATTTGAACTTTTTTAAAAAAAGGAACTAAATAAATGTTTGGAAAAGAGGAACATTAAAGGATCTAACACTAAATTATATGGTTTATGTAAAGAAAATCCCCACTAGCATAGACTTGAAAAGCAAGTGGCTTGTTTCTGTGTTATAATATTCTATTATAATAATATTATAATGTTAATTGTATTATTCTATATATTTTCAGAACTCCTCAACAAGGTGCAATACTGCTCTTAAGCACTCCCAGGATTTATTCTCTTTCTTGCAATATTAACTTAAAAGAAAAACATAAACACAGAGACAGTTAAAACTTCTTTGAAACCAGGAATGTCTAATTACCCACTATTTTCCTGGAGTTAGGAAGTAAGTGGGGTCTCTGTGGTTTTGAACCGACTCCAAGGTGACTAGTCTTGCAACAGTATATGGAGCTAACCGGCTGGTGATCTGAAGGGTAGAGTGAACATATTTTGTAAACCAAATCCATGGAAATATACATAAACAAAATTGAACGCATTACAGTTCCTGATGCTGGGAGTACTTGAGAAGCTTGTTGGATTAATGGTGGTATTTCTCTGATGAGTTTGTTGCTGAACTCAGGGCAAATTTGCCAAAGCCTTAATGTGTTGGGTGGTCCAAAGTAGAAAGCAGCAGGAAGCTTGCCAAAAAGGTGCTCTCAATGACAAGCTGTGGGGGTTTACCTGGTTAAAGTTTAGCACTTCACTCTGTAGTCCCTAAATTCTGGCTCTCGTCCACCTGCACCTAATACTCTCCAGAATTAGGTAAACTGGTTGCCTCTGTGGAGAGAGTGTGCATTCCAATCCAGACACAGGGAAATTTCCATGTGTTCCATCAATATCCGGAGCTCTCAATCTGGTTTCGATACTCTTAAGCATAAAGATAGGTTTATGCATGTATTAGTCACCTTGCTGAACAAAAATGAAGAATAATTATTCAATGCATTTTTCAGGCAAACAACTTGTAACTTTCTAGTATAATACAATTCAGGTTACGTTTTTATAATGCCTTTCAAATGGAAAGAATGTCTCAAAGTATTTGACAGTAATCAAAGTGATTAGACTCATCTAAAAATATGCCCTTGTTGAAGTGATTAATTAAGTTGATTTTGAGTTATATTCACCTTTTTGAATGAAATTAATAATCCTTACATTTAGATATGACATCTTTCACATCAGGAGGATGCCTCAAAGCTCTTCACTTGATATACTGTATAAGGGTAATGATTGTGTATTATTTTGTAGGTGCTATATTTAAATTGTATTTAAATAAATACAATTATTTAATCTTTCAAAGGATTACAAGCCATTCTAGAAATTGTAGTTTTATTTCTTTACAGTAAGACAAACAATCTAGTCAAAAATTTGGATGCAGGCATCGTTTATTGTTCTCTTAACTGCTTTCATCCTATTCAGTTACATTATTTTGTGTTTGCAGTGCTGCTTTGTCAGTCAGGATAATGCTGTCATGGTTTATATTATGTTACAGGTGAGACTGGGAAACAGGGAGACAAAGGACTTCCCGGAAGACCAGGGAGAGTTGGCCCAGCTGGAGGGAAAGGTAACTCACGTATGCTTCTCTGTCACTAGTTGTGTTTGGCAATTCATACATTTCATGAAATTAGGTCAAGTAATTAAATCACATCATTAATCTCCTCATTAAGTATCGAGTACAAGGAATATGTGGAGTCAATACCTGGTGCTGAAACTCAGCAACAACAACTTGCATTTACATAACCTTATATATCCTTCACTTAAGATAACATCTAGGAGCTCAATATACATAAGAGCCTGGATAGCTCAGTCGGTAGAGCATCAGACTTTTCAAGGATTTGTGGGAGCAGTGATCTGAGGGTCCAGGGTTCAAGTCCCTGTTCGGGTGCTCTAATTTAGAAATTGTCAAGAATAATATTCTCCAATTTGAGAACATTATTGTGATTGAATACACAAAAGGCTACAAAGAAAAAAAATGCATCCATGAACTCTTTTAATTAGAATTATAGAGATGCTTCAAAAAGAGGAGTATTAAACACTATGGGGAGAGAAGAAGAGTGTGGGATTAGATTACATGGTTCATGTCAAGAGCATTTGCAGAGACTTGTTCTGTTCTGTATAACATTCTATGAAATGCAATTTCTGAGTTACATACTGCGTTCCTTCAAGCATCATTGCTGAATCTGTCTGTGCAGTAAAAGATCTATCGGGAGGATGCCTATCCATCTGCTAATATATTTAAAGTATGCATATAAATGCAGCATTAGTGTGATCTTATTGTGATGCATATCTTTTCTCCCATTCCCCCATAAGATGGTGCTTTTACACATAAGAACATAAAAAATGCTAAAAAAAACAAGGTCCATCTAGTTTGCCTTCCACCTTCCTGGTGGTCGCATACACATATGTCCTGAACTACCTACGTACCATATCCCATAATGTTATTTCTAAAAAGAAAACGATCTAATCCGGGTTTGGAAGAATCAACACTTCCTGCTTCAACTGTCTCCCTACGACAGTGTGGATTTTGAAGAGTTGCTTGTTGACTGAGATCTATGATCTGGTAGTTAAAAATTCTCCTGTTAATTTATGATTGCTTGTTTTAGTTATTTAAGGAGTATGACAGACTCACTGAGAGCAATTCCATACATTCCATAATGTATGGAACTCACTAGCCCAAAAAGGCAGTTGACGTTGAACATATTCAAGACTGAGATAGATAGATTTCTTATTGCAAAAGGGATTAAGGGATATGGGGATAATGCAGGGTTAGGTTATTAGCTGGAGTTAGATTAGAAGATCAGCCATGATTGAATGGCGGGGCAGGCTCGAAGGGCCGAATGGCCTACTCCTGCTCCTACATGTTATGTTAAGTGGAGGCTTTGACTTTCAGCTCTTCCCTTTGTTTCTGTATCAAATTCTAAAACCAAATTGCAAATTCTATGTTGAATTTTGACAGAAAGCACATCTTTACAATCATATAAATTTAAGAAGAGGCGTAAAAGCATTCACCATTGAATGTTATGCAAATTGACTATTTAGAAACGATAATTCATCACTTTCACCGATATACCTTGTCCTTTGCTAATTAACTACAAAACAGCATTACGAATTTACCGTCAGTTTTGTGCTTCCTGTTTACCTTGTGGATCATGACAGTAAAAAATATAATATAAAAATTAACAAGAATTCTATTATTGCATCTAGTATCCTCGCTGCTTAAAGCAGTTTTTAAAAAATCCTATAACAATGCCAGGAGGATAAGAGAGTGGCTTCTTATCAGTTCTTGGTGCTATTGGGCTGAGAGGAAGGCTTTTTCAGAAAATTACATTACTTCCCAGGGTATTCCATTATTAAATAAAACAAATTTAGACTAAAAGTGAAATGCAAAACACTTCTTGAATTGTACTGTTTAAGCACATCATTTAAGGGTGCGTGAAGGGAGCTATACAAATGCATTACAAATTGTTTTTTGCTGTTGTTGTTGTACCAATTCATGTGACTTGCATATCAGCCGGACTATAGATCTGTGATTCAGTATCAAAAGTTTGAGGCAATGTGATGTTGCCCGATTACTCTGAAAATGATTTTGCTCTGCAATCTTCCAAATGCAGAACATGAATTTCTCACAAGCTGTGCCCCTTGTTTGTACCTCCCAGCACTGTTTAACAGCCACTGCTCGTCACGTGGAAATACGTTAATCTCCAGCAGCCATTAGCTGACCAAATACAACATGGTTTGTTTCAACGATCACTGCTCGAAAGTGATCGAGTCAGTGTTTAGAGTAAAGGACAAGAGGTCACAAAGTAACATAGGTCAGCCAGAGGATCAACGGAATTACTAACTGGTTACTTGATGTGTTTATATTTGTTTGTATTTATGGGTAAAATGTCACATGTTTGGAAATATTTCTGTTTAAATCTGCGAGGACCTCCAAAGTTTAGAGAAAAAAGTTTAATACAAGTGCGGAGGGGCCTCCCAATGCAGTGACCATTAAATCACTGCCTTTTTAAAGCTCTGTCATGTTACTGGCAAATGTTCCGCTCTCGGCTGCAGAGATATTTAGTTCTTATTTTTCGCACTCCAGAATGTAATTATTTGCCTACACTGGCATGCTCTCTGAATTCTCAGCAATCCATACAGACATATCATGTTGTACAATTTTAATTTATATATGAAACAAAATTGCTTCCCGATGAGCTCGCCTCCCACTCTGCCTTTTGGCCATTTCAAATAACAGACATTTCTTTGTAAAAAGGAGACATAACGCTCAACTCTTTTCCTCACCTATTTCACTTGGTTTTAATTTTATCGGCTAAGTTTTGTCATTCATTCCACCCTGTCTCTCACTCCCCATTGTGTCCCTAAGGCATTTATTTTGCCTTGTGTTTAGCAGATAAATAGAATAGAATTGGAGCTTTGTATCTTTTCATCTATATTGTGCATTATTTTATCTGATCTTGTTTGGCTATTCTTTGGCAGATATCATAAAAACTAAGATTTTGTGGCAGCCAAAGTCTCTGGAAGCCATTAAGAGGTGTATCAAACTAGTGTATGGTCAAAGCCCTCCAATTATCTCTTTTTACTAAATGGTTTAGTTATGATCTGTATTCATCATGTAGAATAGCCCATGTTCTGCCTTTCTACAGCACCCTGATTGCCTCTACCAATAGATTCTCAACTGGAGATTAAAATTGTATGTTTCAGCAATGAGGATTACACTTACAATGGAGATAGACATGACTTTATATTGTATATGGCATAACTGTTAACCCTCTGGAGGTACAGAGCTTCATGGTGTTGTGGCATTGAGTGAGAAGATGCACAGTTATGGGTTGAGCAAAATAGGTGAATTGTGTCAACATATACAATTGGGAATGCTATTCGGATTCTCTGTGAAGTACGACAAGTCTGACTTCAGTTTAATTTGAGAAATCAAATGGACAATAATGAGACATGAGCAAAATAAAACAGCTGTAACCTCTCTTTTGTAGGATCTATTGGAGAAGAGGGCCAAAAGGGTGCAATGGGTCGCCATGGCAAAATAGGCCCGGTTGGTTTAAAAGGTAAGTTAATTGCTGTTCATAAGATTAGTAGCTGCAAAGGTCAGTTGACCATCTGGATTCTGCAAAGGTGAAATTCTTCAGGCCATTAAGTGCAATGATAACAATGTGAGTTTAGAATGAAAAAACGTCTTTGTAAATTCTTCACAGACATTACTCTTAGTGGGAAGAGTATCTTCGGCCCCCTTAACTCTTACTATGCTGGCATTTTTATTCTCAGTAATTCTCGATTCTCTCCTTTAAAAGACAATCAGTCTTATGGTGGATGATGTGATGTGCCATAGTGGATTCAAGGTGATAATTGTCACATCATATTTTAATCTCTTCGTCCGTTCAGATCAGTTAACTTCTCTCACCTTAAGATTGCCCAAATTTGAGATCCCTGCACTTGTTCAGACTCATTTGTTCGAAGAACCTTTTTGGAGGGAGGATTAAAGTGTGACATACAAGAAAATTCATCACCCTACTCCACAGAGTTTCCAAACAAAACTACAAAAAGTTCCATATAAGTATGGAGATTACCAATTGTCTGCAATGAAGTGTGTACACTCTACCTACAGGATGCACCCTGCTCACCAAATCCTGAAAAATATTAGGTTCAGTTTTGCAAGAGCTAAAGCTTGGGGATCACAGAGGGAATATTGCTGGCGTTTGACTAGCTAATAACAGCATTAACTAGCTTACCATTATGAACACTCTAGCAAGCTTCATACAGCAGGAGAGAGAAGGCTAAAGCCCTAACAGGTAGCTGGTCTTAGCTGGACAATGATTGAAGCCACACTTAGATGTAGCTTCAGATCTGATTTAGAACCTGGAAAGGCCAGAAAAATATAGTCAGTCGGTTGAGGAATTTCTATGTCCCCAGCTGTTGAAACCAGGTACGACTTGGCAACATGCACCAGTATAGCTTGTAGACTGGTATCACCTTGATTCAGTTGGCAGATTTCGGTCAGAAAGTGATAGGTTCAAGACTCTTTTGGGGACTATTTCTCATAGTCTGGGTTGATACTCCAGGGCAGTACTGTTGGAAGTAATCCAATGTTAGAGATGCTGTCGCTTAGATGGGGTGTCAAAATAAAAAAGACTCTTGTTTGTTTTTTAGGTTAAAGATGGTAAAGAGCACATATCATTATTGAAAAAGAGAAGGGAGCTTCTGTTGGTGTTCTGGCCAACAGTAAAGTTGACCATTCACCTCGTGGCTGATTGTGAGACTGCTGTGTGCAAAATGGCTGTTGCACTTGGGGAAAAAAAATCAATCATGCAAAGGGGGAGAGGGGTTAGAGAGAGAGAGGTTTAGCAATATGGATTGTGTACCTCTAAGTTTAAACATATAAAACTGAATTTTCCATGTTTGCATAGTGTGAGTTGAGTTTGTTTATAGTCTACACAACACCTTGCCTTTTGGATTGCTTAGAACAATTAGGGACATTAATGTACTTTTTAATTACATCTTAAAATCATCATTCGCATGCTTTAAATTAACAGGAGCCAAGGGGGACACTGGGGATCCGGGACCGAAAGGCACAGACGGAGAACCAGGTAGGGACAGGAAATGAGGGATAAATGCTCAGACTGGATTCGGAGTGCCTGAAATTTATCCGTATTTCCTTATCTGTATTTTAAGGTGACAGCTTTAAAATACAAATTAATAAATTTTTGTGTGGAATTAGCTGCAAAATATACAGTCAATTCACTTTAAAGTGTATTCTGTGAAGTCCTTTGAGATGTTTCGGCAACGTGATAAGGCACTATATCAAATGCAAGGATTATTATTATTATAGCTTTAACCTGCAAATCAAACAATCATTTTTTAAATTGTATTTCCTTCTTCAATTTTCCCGTTAGTTTTCACCTTTTACATTGGTTTCCCGAAGATACTGTGACTGCTATAAAGCCTCGCTTCCTACAGCAATCTTTACTTCCTCTGGTGTAACTTATTATTTCCTTGATTTCTTTTACAATGGCCTCTCCTGTCTCCTCAGGCTCTCCCTGTGAGTGTGGCCAATTGAGAAAGGTTATTGGAGAGATGGACATTCTTGTGACGCAGTTAACAAATGAACTCAATTTCATCAAAAATGGTAAGTTACATGAATATTATATCAATTCAGAGTACTGTACTTTGGCTTTCAGACATAATGTTTAACCTTCCACTGTCAGATCAGATTTACCTAATCCTTTTGAGTCTAGGTTGAAAGTCCAATACAGTTGGAGGTGCCATCCTTCAGATCCCAAGTTAAATTGATGTTAAAGATCCCATAGTACTATTTGAAAAGAAAAGGGAGTTTCTCCTGGTGTCCTGGCCAACAATTCCCCAGATAAAATTAGTCATTCACTTCATGGCTGTTTGTGGAACGTAGTTGTGCACAAACTGGCTACTGTGATGGCCTGCAGAATATACAGTCACTACACTTTACAGTAAATCCTATAAAGTGTATTGTCCAAGGCATCCTCCCCAAGTAAAAGGCTCCATATGAAATGTGAGATGTGTTATATGAATTGAAAGTCGGAAGCAGTAATTTATTCTTTTTTTTAAACTTGTCTTAGAAAATGTTTTACTTGTTAAAGCTACGTATAGTGGAGATTTGCTACTGCTGCTGCTTCTGCTGCTGCTTTGCTACAGTAATTCAAAAACACGATCAATAGGATGATTTGTTTAAAACCTGGTTCATGGATTTGTGGTAGCATCATGTACCTTTATCATTCCTATACCACCTGTATTAATTTGTATTAGAAAGGGCTGAAACATCTTTAAAAGCAAACATATAGTAGGACAACATTGCTCGTTCTTGCATTTGATATAGAACCTTTCACATCAGGAGGATGTGTCAAAGTGCTTCTTGGGATACACTGTGTGCCAGCTTGGCTCAGTTTACCAACCTCGCTTCTGAGTCAAAACCATGTGGGCTCAGAACCCAAATTGGGACTTGGAACTCATATAGTTCAAGATGACACTCCAATACAGCACTGGGGTGTGCTGCATTGTTGGAGGTGCCATCCTTCAGATGAGATGTTAAAATGAGGTCCTGTCTGCCTGTTCAGTTCGATGTTAAAGATCACATGGCACTATTCGAAAAGTGAAAGGAGTTTCTTCTGGTTTTCTGGCCAACAATCCCCCAAATTGGTCATTCACTCCACAGCTGTTTGTGGGACAGTGTGCTGCACAAATTAGACCCTACCTCTGTGACCTGCTAAGATATTACTAACCTGCCTGTTCCCTCCACTTGGCGGGCAGGTTAGTAATATGCAGCCCAGGTGCAAACCCTAGACTGTCCAAGACCTTGCGACATGAGTCAGAAGGTTATGGTTTCAAGATCCTTGTCTGGATTTTGAACACATAGTCCAGGCTGATGCTCCATTGCAGTGGTGGTGGCGGATGGGGAGGTGGCGGGGAGTGCTGTATTGGTGGAGGTGTCAGCCTTCTGATGAGGTGTTAAACTGAAGTCCCATCTGCCTGTTCAGATGATCATTAAGGATCTCATGGCAGTATTTGAAAAATAATCCCGAGGTCCTGGCCAACAATCCCCTCAAAATAGAATTGGTCACTCACTCCATGGCTGTTTGTGGTACATCACTGTGTGCAAATTGTCTGCTGCTTTGCCTACAAACACAAGTCAATATACTTGACAGTAAATCCTAAGAAGTGCTTTGACACATTTGGACAACCTGGTAAGGCGCTATATCAAATGCAAGGATTATTATTTTGAAAAAGTGGCCCTTATTATCAACTGTTAGTGGGGCCCTGGGAGAACCTGGAACATTTTGAATAAATGGATTGCTTAATGTGTGTGAATCGCATGAATATGGCACAAAAAGATATTAAACCAAAGCATGAATTTACACAACACTGCAGCAGCTGCAATTTACTTCAAAGTGGCTCGGATTAAAACGACAGGGGATGGAATTCTCAATCAGAAAATCGTGAGGCTCTGCCACCTAGCGGCCATTTGGTTTTACACACTGAACCGTGCATGAACTCAATGGGCCACAGTTACGAAATCGCTTACATTTAGATTTACCCCACGTTTCATAGAACATCAACTTTCTTTGCCCTCAACGCAACAGTTTACGTTAAGCAGTTGCCCTTCGTCAAAACGGGGGAATTAGTTGTCACCATCAATACACAGAATCAAACTGCGAGGCACAAAGTTGTGCATTTGTAGCCCGCAGGTTTCAAGCTCAGAAATATGTTTGGTATTTCCAAAGGTCTGCGGACTAAAATGAGGACCTCATAGTGTTAGATGGGAGAGGAGGGAGTGGTGCTGGGGCTGCTGGTTGTATGTTCTTTGTAAAGCTGCTTATGCCCTTATTAAATATAACAGAAACCAAAGTGCTCAATTTCAGCACTGCCCTCCCCCGCAGCTGTTGCCGGAGTACGAGAGGTGGGAAATAAACTGTACCTGTTGGTGAAGGAGGAGAAGAGGTACATGGACGCTCAGGCCTACTGTCGAGATCGTGGAGGGCTTCTCAGCATGCCAAAAGATGAGATAATCAACAGCCTTATTGCTTCCTATATCAATCAAGAGGGGCTGACCAGAGTGTTCATTGGCATTGATGACCTAGACAAGGAAGGCCAATTCTTCTTCACAGATGGATCACCTTTGCTGACTTTCAACAAGTGGCGGAACAGTGAGCCCAACAATGCCTATGATGAGGAGGATTGTGCAGAAATGGTATCTTCTGGTGGGTGGAATGACGTAGCCTGTCACATAACCATGTACTTTGTTTGTGAATTTGACAAAGACGTGCCTTGACTTGGTCAGAGTCTGGAGTTGCCCTAGTGACATGCTGGAGGGAGGGGAGGGGGGGAATTTTGAAAATTTGCACCTCAGGAAAGCGGCAATTTTACTGTGCTACACTGTTACTGGCACTGGGCAATGTCATGTAAAGAACATGGCAGGAAACTCCATGTGTGGCACACCAACTCACTAGTCCAAGGTGGTCGCAGATCAGAGATGTGGTCTTGTGAATCGGAGTGATGTAGATGGGGTTTCCTGCATGTGATGGTTTATGTACTGGGAGCTTGGCCCCAATAACACTGTGGCTTTCCTCGGGAGCACTGTTTCAATCCCATTATTCCACACCCATGATGGATACGTTGGCATTAATCTGAAACAATAGCTGACCTCATTTGGGTCTTACTCGGAATGAGTACCTAGAGATTTTTGTCAAACATCTGCTCATGTTCCGGACACACAACACAGAAGGGATATCCCAGTTCCCTTACAGAAGAACTGTTTTATGTTCTTTGTCTTTCCCCAAAGCATTTCTCAAATATTTATTTTCGGCTCCCATCTCCTTATACCATCTTTCAGTTGTCTCCTTGTTACCTGCTGAGTGCTTGGACTGCAGATTTCAGTTTGACTATCATCTATTGGATCGAATTCAAGATCCTCGTTCTCCTCTTTGAATCCCTCCACAAATTCGGCCCACCCTACCTCTGTGATGTCCTACAGCCTTATGACCCCAGCCTCTTCCTTCGTTCAGTGAACACTGTTACCTTCATGTCCCCCACTTAATCCACCCCACCATTTCAACCGTTCGGCCCCACTCTCTGGAATTCCATTACGGAGTCCGTCCGCCTTGCATCTTCCCTGTCCATGTTGAAAACCCCCTGAAAACTTAGTTTTTTGAGTAATCTTTCAGTCATCTTCCCCCTCCCCCCACTCTTGTATATTTTGTGGGCGATTTAATTCATTCAGTTTGCTAACACCCTCACCAAAAAACAAACAAGGTAAAATAAATGTTGATAATATATGTCCAAATTCAAAGAAAGTCAAAATCAGGCAAATCTGACTGAATTACACCAGTTCCTCTTTGATCGGTAATCTCCCTGTGTATAATTATTAGACCTCAAGAGGGCAATATACTCCAGTTGTAATTCTTGTAATGTGTATCACAGGTCTTGTGTTTCTAGGTAGAGCATAGGCTGCATGTTGTGCCTGCAATCCTCTTGATTTTCTGGACTTTTCTGAGCTGTTGTAGGGAGGGTCAAAGAGGAGGCCAGGCATTGCAGGAAGGCAGGCAAAACCACCCCAGATTCCCATAACATAATGGGACTTCAAACAACTGACAGAGCGAGAGAGCCGGGAGCAGATTTCCCAGCCTGCCTACCTAGCCAGGCATGATGCAAGGTGACCTAATAAAAAGGAGAGAGAAAGCTGTCTAATAAAGTTAATTTGTTTTGTAGCCTGTCCAGTCTGGCCATGTAATCCCATATGAACTATAAACATCATAGAACATTTCAGCACAGAAACAGGCCATTCAGCCCAACATATCCATGCCAGTATTTATACTCACATGAACCTTCACCCTACTCCCATAACCCTTTATTCCCTCCTCCCTCGTGTATGGCATATATAGGCAACAATGGGATTTGAACCAACACCATCAAAGTGGTTGGAGCCTTGATCCAACACTAGGCCACTCAGCCACACTATTGCACATAGTGTACAGAACCTGACATTCTGTGCTATGAGTGATGTGTCTGATTGGCACAAGCTCAGAAGACAATTTCACTGTTAATGTGTAAATAAAGTAATAAGGTGTTGACAAAGTTGGGAGTTTTACTATTTTTTTCCTAGCATCTACCTGCTTTTGGTATTGTACAACCTGCCCTGAACTGTATCGTATTATGTATAGGATGGACTTAATCTTCTCAACCTCGGATCCCAACAAACATCAGACCTATTCAGTACCGACTATATGATCTTTGCTTTCTTTTTATCTAAAATTTCTCCAGTTCAAATGATAGTTCATGAAGAAAATTATAAATTGTTGTGAAATAGGTCAAGTGACTTAGTTTTCTGTCCACATCACAATGTCACAAGATTAGTTTGGATGAAGAAGGAAGGCCCTTTGACTTCTCTGATCTCATCGATCCAGAACACCCATCATACCATCCCCCCACTACAACATCAAGCTGTTTTTTTAAATATGTCCAGTCTTCTGGCCTCAACCACCCTTCCTGGTAACCTGTTCCAATGGTTAATTACCCTCTGGGTAAATAAATATATCCTGGATCTCTTTCAGCTTCCTCCTTGGCAAGTTTTATCCCATCCATGAAATATATGTGCCTCCTGTTCTAACCTCCTATGTGCAATAACTTACATTTACCTGTATTATAATAATCCTTGCATTTGATATAGCGCCTTATCACAACTTTGAAATGTCTCATTGTATTGAATAATGTATTGAACTTAATTTGCATGTCAGCTTATGTGCATACTCTAACAAACTCTTGTAAGATCTTTGTTGACTTTTGCTCTTCCAACTTAGTGTAAGATAGTTCAAATTGTAAATGGACTGTTTTAGCAAATTAGTTTGCCCCAAAACAAAATAATCTAAATTTAGGAATTGTCTGGAATTTGATTCCTTTGGTTGCTTGGTGAGGCTTTTCCCTGAAACGTAATGAGTGTGGAATAATAATCATCAAACCAATGAATATACCTAAATTGACTGTTAATATGTGGATGGATTAACCAAAATGTGCAGTATTTAACCAGTGCAAATAAGAAAGATATTGTACTGAATAATTAGAAAAATATTTTAATAAACTGAAAAACTCCTCGAGTCATGGTTGAATTTTGTCAAAATTCTGAAATAAAATCCAATGTTTTCTGTAAAATGTGCATACTTATTGTTTTATTTTTAGTAAGCATTGTGTTGAACAATGTATAGTATTTTCTGTTTTTTAATTGGAGGCTGCAAATCCTTTGATTTGGTTTCCTCTCATCATTAAATTAAATTCCTCATTATCAGGAAGGGAAAATCTGCTAGTGATGATATTTATCTTGCATTGAAAGGAAAAATACTAACCTTGCCACTTGTCTGTCACTTTAATTCTAGTAGGAAAATATGAACATAGGAGAACAGGAGAAGGCCATTCAGCCCATCAAGCGAGATCCATCAATCTATTAGATCTTGGCAATCCCCTATTAAAGAACAAAGGAAGTATGAAAGATGAAATACAGATGTTAACCTGGCTCATTTGATAGTACTCTTACCTCTGAGTCAGAAGGTTATAGGTTCAAGCCCAATGTTGTGACTTTGAGCTCACGGTCTGGACCGGCACTCCAATATAGAGCTCAATACAGGATGCGCTTCTTTGTTGGAGGTGCCATCCTTTGAATGAGCCATTAAATCAAGATCTAGATTGCCTGTTTGGGTGGATGTTAAAAATCCCATGGCATTATTTGAAAAGTGCAGGGAGTTTTCCCGGTGTTATGGCCAACACTCCCCCAAATATGATGTGTCCTTCGCTCATGGCTGTTTATGGAACATTGCTGTGCATAAATTGATTGCCAAGATTGTCTACATGATAGTCACTACTTTACAGCATATCCTTTGCGATGTCTTCCTGATGTGGAAAGTGCTATATCAAATGTCAGGATAATCATTATAAAACATTGTCCCAAAGAGACTCAGTCATTCACCTCATGGCTGTCTGTGGGACATGCAGCAGCTTATTTGCAAACAAGCTGCTACATTCACCTACAATATATAGAGTTACAATACTTTATAGTAAATTCTGTGAAGCGCTTTGAGACATACTCCTGAAGTGAGAGGCGCTACATCAAATGCAAGGATCGTTATTATTAACAAGCACAATCAGATATGACAGCAAGGAGAAAGAAACCAGAAAATAAGTTTAAAAATTGCAGAAAAAAATGCCTCAAACAGCAGAAGTAAACTGGAGTCAGAGAGAAGTAATAAGAAGGGAGAAACTGGATGGAGTAAGAGAATGTGAAACAAGGTTAATGAAATAGACAGTGAGTTATGAAAAATGTATCAAATGTATAAAAAGAATTACAATGTATATTCTTTCAAGGACAAATCAGATGAATTTCTGTTTGAAAGTAATATCTTGGAATACAACATATAGTTTGGGACATGACATGTGCAAGTGACTGCCACCTGGTGGAAGGTGAACTGGTTTTCTCTCACTTAGCAAATTCTTATGTTCTTTTGTATATTAAACACAAATTAGAGTGTGTCTTAACACGTTGAAGGTTAAGACTCTGAGGTCTAACATGCACTTTTGGATTAACATGGGTTAATTACAAAAATCACCAATGGAATTTTTAAAGCAATGAATCCTGAAACACACTGAAAAAATGTGCTCTGAGCATCTGTGCCTGCAAACATTAACAGCAGCTTTATAAATATTCAAGCTAACGACTGAGCAGCGACGCTAATCCTTTTCAATGTCATGAAAACAAGCTTAACTGGTATTGTGTTTAAAATGGAGGAATGAAGGAATTAAAATGTGGGAGCGCACACTGCGGCAAAATGGACCATTGCAAAGAGGCTGCTTCAGCAATACAGAGTAGCATTCAGTGGTGGAGAGTCTCCTGCAAAAAGGGAAACTTGTTTTCCAACTGTACTCTACTGTTGGTCCATGTGTCAGAAGAGGACACAGTAGAGGTCACATTCAGTGTGAATGAGGCCCTATTGAGCTCACTAAGTTCCTTAACAAGATCGAACAGGTTAACCTGGAACAATAGTTTCAGATTTGTCAAAGCAGCAGGTCATGAGGCCAAACAGGTTGATGGTTTTGAAGGGCAATGTCAGCACAGGCACCAGGAGGTTAGTTTTTGGTTAGAGGGCAATTAATGAGTGAGACAGATTATCAAGAGGGCTGATTGAGGCCAGGACACTGGACTTATTTTAAAAAATAACATCTTGGAGTTTTGGCGGGTTGGGCAATAACATAATAATAATAATACTCCTTGCATTCGATATAGCGACTTATCACATCTTCGAGACATCTCAAAGCGCTTCACAGAATATACTGTGAAGTGAATTGACTATATATTTTTGTGGGCGAAATGCGGCAGCCAATTACACACAGCAGTATCCCACAAACAGTCTTAGTTTGAGTGACCAATTTATTATTATTTTTTTTGGAAGGAAATATTACCCCTGGAAAAGCGATCTGCCAATCGACTAACAACCAGATTCCTACTTACTGCTAGGTAAACAGGCGTGTGGAATAAGGAAACTTACCCAATGGGGTGGGTTTCTGGAAAGATGAGATCAAATGGGCTGGAGGGCGTTCTTCATCCAAACATCTCTGCCACGACACAAATAATGTGATAAAAATGCTATTCTCAGTCATTTTCATCACATGTAATTTATTGTTGTATTTATTTTGAGGCTAAATTGCAGCATAACTTAACATGAAAGGTTACAGTTCTAGATGTTGTTATTCATCAAAGTGAATTTAATATACCTCAAATTATTTGCTTTGAAGCAAATGTTTATTTACATTCATTTGGGTGAACATCTACTCAGTGCTGAGTTAGCCATTAATCAATTAATTTAACCTATAACATTGAAACAGCTCAAAATGGTTCACAGATAAAAGCTGTAGAGTGTAAGAGGACCTGGGTTCGATTCCCAGGCAGGGAAAAATCTTAGGCAAGTTTTCTTACTGTACATGCCTCTGTTTACGTAGCATTAAATAGGAACCCGGTTGTTAGTCGATTGGCAGATCGCTTTCCGAGGGATAATAAGCTGTCCAAAAAAAATTTGGTCATTCAATCCACAACTGTTTGTGCGTAATTGACTGCTGCGTTTCCCCCACAAAACACGCAGTCACTACAGTATAAAGCATATTCTATGAAGCTCTTTGAGACATCTCAGCGACATGATAAGACACTATATGAAATGCAAGGATTATTATTATTATTCCCTGTGCTGGGAAATAGACAGCCGACCCAGAGTTCCTGGTCCTGATCCCAATGTTCAGTCTTCATTTAAAGTTTACTTATTTGCCCTGGAAGACTGGAAGGTGCTTGTCTGTGCTTTATCCCATGATTGAAAACACTCACACATGAAGATTGGCTCATTGGGTGAAGTACTGGGGATGGGGGGGGGGGCAGATGTATTCTAGCAAAAATCTTACTTACCTTCATATAAGGAAGGAGAGACAGGTGGGCAAGGGGAGAAAATTGGCACAAAATATAATTAAAATAATATGAGATTCCTCTTCTTAGCAGTGTTATGTGGTTATAAATTGCACTCCTGCTTGCCTGCCCTCTGTGGTCAATGTGACTGTGAAACATACACATATGTACAGTGTAACTGTGTCACGGAACAGGTAGTGTGAGATATGAACTTGCTATGAAAATGAGTCCCTGCTAATTGAGGGTGGGGAAAGGCACTGCAAATAGCTCTGGGACGTCCTCCTGATGTGAAAGGCGCTATATAAATGTAATTTGTTGTTGTTGTTGTTGTTACTAATGACCTCCCATGCAGGTCTCCAAAGGAATTCAAATAGATGTGTGGGATTAACGTTGATTGACATCTAAGTGCAATTGAATAGTTAAATATTCAGCCATTGAGTGGAAAGCAGAAACCACGAGTGAAGCCATGAGGGGACATGCAATGAACATTGAGCAGCTTGTAACTGCACCATGGTATTACAAGGGGTTGCATGAGTTATCAATCTGCGTCCAGGCCTTTACAGAAGGACTATTCATAGGAGGTTTCAAGTTAGTGTGTGCTTAATTCCTGTTTCACGAGACTAATAGACTATAAAATATTTGATGGTTGCCGTTGGAAATCTGATTAAACAGAAGAGAAAGCAGAGCGGAATAAAACAAAATAATATAACAAACACTGGAGCGTCCGGGGAGAAGAAGCAGCAGAAAGTGAGAAAGGAATAGAATCATCTGAAATTGTGTTGCAGTAATAAAAATGTTACTATGGTAACTCTGCCTATATAATTGCAATTAGATATACATGTGCTGTTGAAATTCTATGGTGTGCTAATTTTGACCCTCTTTACTGCATATTTTGAAATACAACAGGAACTTGTTGTATTCAAAGGTCAGAATGGCAAGGACAAAACCATTTGCATGAAACTGATATATACCGAACAGGAATGGCAGAAAATTTCCTTACTCCACACGCCTGACAATAATCGCTCAAGAAATTAACCCAATAATAATTTGGTCACTCAATCCACGACTGTTTATGGGACACTGTTGTGTGCAAATTGGCTGCCGTATTTCGCCCACAAAATATACAGTCAATTCACTTTACAGTGTATTCTGTGAAGCGCTTTGAGCCGTTTTAAGATGTGATAGGGCGCAATATCAAATCCAAGGATTATTATTATTATTTCATTATTATAAAGATTTGATAAAAATAATGAGAGTAAAAAAATACAAAAAGATATGAAAATATTAATAAGAGGACCTATTAAGGTTATTTACTCTGCTCGGGTTCCCACTCAATCACATTATTACAGGAGAGACAGGCCCTCCAATATGCTCAGTGGTTAGAGCACTCCAAAGTGAGTGAGAGACCTGAGTTAACCACTGAGCTACAGGACTCCAGCTCAGTGGTTAGAGCACTCGCTTTGCAAGCGAGACACCTGGGTTCAATTCCAGGCAGGGCGAAACCTTGGGCAAGTTTCCTTACTCCACACGCCTAATAATAATCCCTCCAAAAAACGAAACAATAATAAATTGGTCATTTTCAATCCACGACTGTTTGCGGGACACTGCGGTGCGCAATTGGCTGCCGCGTTTCGCCCACAAAATATACAGTCAATTTACTTTACAGCATATTCTGTGAAACGCTTTGAGACGTCTAGAAGATGTGAAAAGCGCTGCATCAAATGCAAGGATTATTATTATTATTAAAGTTTCTTTATGTTTTGAGGGTTTAAATACATGTTTGATGCTGTTTCTAATAGACATCTCGAATGAATCAAATGTATTTAATAAATTAATCAAATTAATAAATATATAAAATTAATATCAGAAGTGGCTATCAACGAGTACAACTGCGCAAGTAAAATAAGTACATGAGGATGAAACTGTTTGCTTTCAATTGTAAATATGCTAATGTACTTTCCACTTGGTGTGTTTTGCAATGTCCAGGAATTTAGCCAACTACCTTCATGTCAATGGCTATGCGGTTATTGAAGTTTGCTCGGAAGATTTACTGATAAGAGTTGGGCTGTTTAATGGTTTGCACAACATTTGCATTTCAAAGTCAAAGGTTCGACAGGGAAGCTGAAAGCTGATGACTTGGAAGGAGAAGGGAGCTGTGCTAGGTCAGTAAAAGCTCACACACTCAAAATTGGGTGATCTAAACTGAGTGATTGTACTTTGTAAAAAAAAAGGATCTTAAATTAATGCTAAATATAAAATTTTTAAAAGTCTCTACCTTGTTACTTTGAATGTGTCATATGACCTATTTCTCATTTGAAGAGTTTGAGGTTGTTTATTGTGTTGCTTAGAGTTATCTTTACTTAAGATTTTATACTCTCATAAAACAACTATAAAATCCCCACTCATGCTGGGGAAGGGAACTCTGAGAGGAGCAATTCATTGGCCAAGGGTCTAAAGGGTTAATGTGTGAAAGGAATTTTATGTGGTCAGTTAATAGGTGAGCAAATAGTATAAATATTTAATGAAGTACTGTATGGTGAGACGTTTTGAAAGAAAGATATCATTTTCTGTACTAAATAACGAATTGCACTGGCGAGGTAAACACTTTAGTGAGAAATCACACACTATACCACAGCATATATGTTGCTGTTGTACAAATGTCCTTGTGACTGTTGTAGCATTAAGCTACATAGCATTTTACCTGCCTTGTTATTTCTTCTCTCTCCCCCCCACCATTAAAACCAGACAGATGACTAATTTGCTTTTAGGCTTCACTCAAGATGCCTTTTGTATTGTTCACAAGGAGGTGCTAGTAAACAGTCTAGAGCTGACTAGCCTTCTGAAGCTTGGGGTTTACTCAGTTCTCCCTTGAGGGCAAAGCTGAGATCAGGAACTTATGAGTGAAGAATCAGAGGGGTCAACTTGAACCCTATCGCACCATGGATAGAGCATTGCTGCTCCAGTCCACTGAACCACCATCTGGAACTCATTTGGTACTCAAAGCTCTGAGTTTTCTCAGCATTGCTGTAAAATGGGCAAGTTTCCTTACTCCACACGCCTAATAATAATCCCTCCAAAACAAGAACAATAATAAATTGGTCATTTTCAATTAACGACGGTTTGTGGGACATTGCTGTGCGCAATTGGCTGCCGCGTTTCGCCCACAACTATACAGTCAATTCACTTTACAGCATATTCTGTGAAGCGCTTTGAGACATCTGGAAGATGTGAAAAGCGCTATATCAAATGCAAGGATTATTATTATTATTATTAAAAATAAAAAGGTACTGCTTTGTATTTTGTTCCAATAGTTTGCTTCCTCGGTAACCTCCGATCCAAAATACACAGGGTCTAATCACTCAGGAACAAGGGAATAATGGCGGCTCGTCCAGTCACGGAAAATGCAAAGGAGCTTCCAGACTTCATGCAGTTAAATGACCTGGCTTGCCAAACAGCAGGAGGCAAGGTAACAGCATGAGTGGTGCTCATGGAGCTAGCAGGAGCTTTGTCACGCAAGCAAGGACAGAATATCAAATAACACATATTCTATTGGAGCTATACCTCTGAGAATTATATGGGTAAAGTCTGCGTATTTCATAGCACGCCTGGCACACTGGTAGCACTCTTGCCTCTGAGTCAGAATGTTGTGGGTTCAAGCCCCACATTGGGACTTGAAATCACATAGCCTAAGCTGACACTCCAATGCAGCGCTGGGGATGTGTTGCATTGTCGGAGATCCTGCAGAAGAGACGTTAAACCAAGGTCCCATCTGCCTGGTCTGGTGGACGGTAAAGATGCCATGGCACTATTCGAAAGGAGAAGAGAGTTTGTCCCAGTGTTCTGGCTAACAGTCCCCCAAATAAAATTGGTCACTCACTTAATGGCCATTTGTGGAACATTGCTATGTGCAAAATTGGCTTCCATGTTTCGCCCACGGAATGCAGTGTCAATCCATTTTACAATATATCCTGCGAAGTACTTTGAGACATCTTGATAATTATTATAAAACGATTGGAAACGTGTGATAAAATGAATGGGGGCAGTACAAATGTGTCCATCCAGTTCATGAGGGCAAGGAAATCTATATCTTGTTTCAAGCATCTAATCAAATTCATTTTTTAATTTTTCAAAAGAATTTATGGACTGCTTCAATACTTCTGTAGAATTGGTGCTGATCAATGCTGATAGTTTTGCTGATTCAATTATTTTACACAGTGGTGAAAATAATAATCCTTGCATTTAATATAGCGCCTTATCACATCTCAATGCACTTCACAGTTTAGACTGCAAAGTGAATTGACTAAACATTTTGTGAGATGTCGAGAAGATGTGAAAAAACGCTATATCAAATGCAAGGATTATTATAATTGAAGAACATGAGAGTTAAAGTCATGCAGGATTATATTTTATTTAATATTTTGTATTTGGGATTGTCCAGGCTGTTTTGTTTTTAGTCCTTCACATTCTTATGTTCCTATGTGCTGTAAAGCTTTCTCATTTATTTTTTGTCTTTAGGTCCTGTTTGCTACAGATGATTGGTTTGCTTCTGCGGAAAATTTGTTGAAGGTGGGTCGACTGCTTGTTAAACATCAAGTTTATCCATTTAGTTTTTAAATTTGTTTGGAAATGATAAACAATTAATTTTTTGGTAGATAATTTGAAGATGCAATTTATCCCCTGCCATTAAGCAATATTGTACTCAAAGACAGGTGGTGAGAAGTGAGTTACTGTCTGTACAAGAACAACTTGCATTTATATAGCACCTTTCACATAGGATAAGGTCTCGGTATGTTTTATACTGATGGGCTTGGATGCCAGGCAAGGTAATACGATACTATACAAAATTACATTTGTTTGGCGCATTTCACATTGGGAGGATGTCCCAAGGCGTTGGACAGTCAGGGATTTAGACCCGAGCTGGAGGTTTGCACTCTTTGAATATGAGAGTCTGGAAATTATTTTTCAGAGAGAAGCAGCACAATGGAAAGCAAACGCTTTTACTGAGTTTGGCAAATGGATGGATGGCTGGGAAACCAGGAGGAAACGAATTCCAGGTGCGCTTATTGGATAGCTGGATGACTGACGAGTGATTATTCTTGTGGGGAGAGGTAAGCAGGGTTTCTTTAAGGCTGAGCTGGTTCCAAGATGGCAATGGAATATCCGTAGGAGTTTTTCCTTTGTAGCCGTCTTGGTAGTCTGTTTCCTGACCATGATGGTCAGCAATACTCCAAGGCAGGCTTATAACAAACCAGCCAGCTTGGAGACTAGTGTCTGAGAACAGCTATCGTTCCCATGTGGCTCCTGTTAACCCTGGATGTCAGACCTCTAATAGGTAGGATGTTTTAGCTAGACAAACAGCTGGAGGTTTATCATATATTGCTTGCAATGACAAACATTGCAGTTTAGGTGTTGAATTACAGCAGCACACCACAAAAGTCTGGGATCCCTAAACCTTGCCCAATCTGTGCTTAAATAGTTTCTAGAATTAGGTAAGCAGGGTGTGTCTTCCAGAAAGAGAAGTCACATTCATTTCCAAACAAAGACCAACAACAGCAGCAGCATTTCCATACAGAGTTGGCTTACAATGTGGAATTCTCAGTCTCATTTGCAAACTCTTAAACATGGCAACGGGTGTCCACAGATGTCAACTGGCTGAGCAAAAATATCCATTACCCTCAACCTCCAGCGTGCCTGGGGACCAGTGTATAATTAGCACATTGTTTGGTTGCTTTTTTTCAACAACGTGTGAACCAGCACTATCCATTTTAACTAACACACAACAGATCCTAATTTTCACCTCAATATATAAAAAAATGGAACGTCTCCAAATGCTTCACTCTTGTGTGGCTAAATAGTCTCCTTGATGGGCTAGAGCCTAGACCTTGTGTATTGTTAATTTGTGGCTGTTTAACCTAGGTCATGACTGGTGTGTTATCCAGCTCGGCGTGCCTGGAGTCATTCATGGATTTGACGTTGATACTTCTTATTTTACTGGCAATTATGCTCCTCGCATATCGATCCAAGCTGCGTGCCTAGATCCGGGTGAGTGGACAAAGAGTAGGCAGGCATTCAACAACTAAGACAAAATGACCAATTTATCTGCAAGATTGCTGGCCAGTACACCCAGAGAAATTCCATTCTTTTTTGGTTATTCATGTCTTGGCTGTTAGTGGGAAATTGCTGTGTGCAAATCAGCTGTGGCATTTGCCCACAAAACATACAGTTATTGCACTTTACATTATATCCTGTGACATGCTTTGAGATGTCCCTCTGACGTGAAAGGTGCTGTACCAAATGGGTTATTTATTTATTATTAATTATTTATTTAATCATTTGCTTAATCTTTTATTTATTTAGTCATTTATTTATTTGTTTACTGTTTATGTATTATTTATTTATCTATTTATGTATCTATTTAGTTATCTATTTAGTTATCTATTTATTCATTTACCTACAAATCTATTTATTTATTGATCATTTGTAAATTATGCTGCATTCCTCTGTAGCAGCTCATCCAATATGACATTACATTGGTATTTTGATGGACAGATAATCTTCTCAAAGCCTCTGAGATACAATGCCAGGGCCTTGAATTGGCTGCCAGAAAAAAAAGTGGGGTTGAGGGGAATATAGGTTGACTGTGAACACATTGTGCAAACCTTTTAGTGGATTCCATATTTACGTATGATCTTGCAAGCCATTCTTCCTGATGTGAAGTGAAACAATGTGCGTCTAATACTTTTCATTGACCAGATGAGGTTCCCAACGTACCTCCAAGAGGAGATAAAACAGGAACAGCTGCTTTGGAAGAGGAGTTTAAGGCTATCAACAAGGTTTGCCATAGCATAATTGTTCTTCTCCTTGAGAATATATCTTAGATTTTTTAAAAAAAATATTTATTTATAAATATATTTAGCACAATAGAAATCCAAAACAAACACAAGATCTTCTGTTTACAATTTTTTCCCCTTTTCGCCCGATGCAAAAATCATATCACTGAGTGATTGTCAATTGGCTGGTAGTTTTGCAGACAATTAGAGGATCATTCCTCAGGATTATTCTCACAAGGTCACATCAATGAAGAGCTGCCTGAAAATTCTTAGCCTTAAGGCTATTGTTTTCCGATTTAAAAGTTGGTGCATTTAGAAAATTCTTAAATTCAGTCTTAATATATGCATTTTTTTCATGAGTTTAATAAGGCTCAACCAAACTTAATTATGCATGCACGTAGAAGCGGGGAATCAGGAGGGCTGGGGGCTCATGTGAAATATAAATACTGATGCAGACTAGTTGGGCTGAACAGTATGCTTCCGTGCTGTAGGTTTGCATGTGAACCGATATTCCATGAATTGACAATCTGGATACAGCAACTTCCATGGCTACTGGTGCCAGCTTCAGACACAGCCATTATGATGATGATTGAGAGGGGAATAACTATTGATCCTTTGATAGCATTTATCAATAATGTGCTAATTATCACTGATGACAATTAACAGACAACACCCCACAATTTGTATCCCAATATAATACCATGTTTGAATTGTTTCTTATTTACTGTATCTTCTGTGGCAGCTGAAGTCAAACCTCTGGACTGAACTGGTTCCTATGACAGTCCTACAGCCAGGCTACATTGACACTCATCACAATTATTTACCGGTTCAATTGCTTGAGCGATGGACGCACATAAGACTTAACATGTACCCAGGTAAACATTACAATTTTACAAACATGGAATACTGATTGCAATATAATATTAATTATATTATATGTGGGGTGAGAGGCTATAGGCTACGTCTCGACTACGTGATAAGGCGCTCTATCAAATGCAAGGATTATTATTATGGTTATGAGGAGAGATTGGAGAAGCTGGCCCTGTCTTATTGGAGCAAAGATGGTTGGGGGAGCACCTTATAGAGGTACACAAGATTATGAGGGGTTTTGACAGAGTTAATAGGGAGAAATTATTTCCATTGAAAGGGGAATTAGTAACTAATGGACATAGTTATAAGATAGCCACAAGAAAAGCAAAAGGAGAATTTAGGAGGAAATTTTCACACAAGAATTTAGGAGGAAATTGTTGGGATATGGATCGCCCTGCTGAGTTGACTGCTGGAGATGGAATCTATTTAGCTTTCAAGCGGGAAGTAGACAGGCTGTGAGCCAGTGAGGACTCAATGGGCTGAATGGTCTCCTTCTGTGTGATAAATTTCTATGTTTCTGTACACACACATAAAAAATACTGCATAAAGCAAATTAGTATTACCTACAGACTTCAAGTGCTAGAAAATATTCAATGCTACCGGATTCTTTATACATCAGAGATTTGAGAGGGTTTGGAGTGCACTGATGTGTTATCCCAAAGTTTGTGAGGAGGCAGATTTGTATTAGAATTAGAATCTGCTCATGTGAAGGAAAAAAAGAATTAGACTTTGCTCATGTGAAGGAAAAAAAGTATAGAGATGGATGGACCGAATGATTTGTTCCTGTTCTGTAACATTCTGTGATGAAGTTGATTTAACGTGAAGAGTGTATAAAGTTCATGCTCCTCTTAATCTTTCTTCAGATGGTGGGATTGCACGATTTAGGGTTTATGGTGTCGGTCACAGGGACTGGTCAGCTGTTTCACAGGACCAGACAGTGGATCTCGCAGCAATGGTCAATGGAGGTGTTTGTGTGGGATACAGCAATGCTCATTTTGGTCATCCCAAGAACATGTTAGGTACCTCTACGTTAATATTCAATCTTGATATTGGATTATAAAGTGTTGTGCTATTTAGTTATTTTAAAGAAAGGAATATTTAATATTTCCTCATAAGGATATGTTTTATATTGAAATGATTATAAAATGATTATTTAAATTATTATATGAAATCAATTTGTTAATGCAGTTAGTGAGACCTCTCTCCGGGACAACTCAAATATGATCTGCTTCCGAACTATAGTTCCTGTGGATTGGTGGGACTTTTTATGTGATTTTTTATCAAGAAATACTGCAAATTAGACCCCAATATGGAATAGTAAAGCCTCCAACATACACTTCACCCATGATCCAGGAAAACACAGATGAGTGTTTAAACTTTAAAGTAACAGTTTGGGCAGTGTAGCTACTTTTACATTCTTAAATGTTGGTGGTAAAATGCAATCAATAATCACAGTGATTCTACCACTAACAATGCTGAAATAGTGTGTATATTAAATGTAAATATTCACTTTGAAATACATATAATAATATGTAAACTGAATGCAAACCCAATGTTTAGGATGGATTAATATCACCAAAACGTCATTTGTTGTATTTTCAACAGTTTCCAGAGAATTTTACTAACGGTGTGTATCAAAAACAGTAAATAGCGTTTACAGATCAATGTAACTTGAAATATTAGTTAGGTTTCCCTCTTCCCTCCATAACCTTTACAGTAAATGCAATTTAAATAATCTATGATATGATGGAAGTTCTTTCTTACTACTTTAACATTCATAATTTTGATTTTATTATTTTAACAATTTAAATACTTGCTTGTCTCTGAAGGCATTGGGAGATCGAATGTGATGTCTGATGGATGGGAAACTGCCAGAAGATTGGACAGACCAGCAGTATTAAAGGTAGGTAACCATTCGTCCAACTAATGATGCTGCGAATGCAGATGACGCTCCTTCATATAAATATTGAATTAATTGCTGCTTATTCTGACATCAGAAACATGACCTCAGCTATTTGCGTATTATCTTTCCAGGTGGATGATCATGGTGTTTTACAGGTTCCTGGTTGTGAATGGGCTGTTTTTAGGCTTGGACATCCTGGAGTAATAACTCGTGTTGAGATCGACACATGTCAATTCAAAGGTACAGTGCTGAAGCAAAAAAGAAATTATTGGCAGAGAAAGAAAAAAACTGTACAACAGTCAGTCAGACCTCAAATTTCACCTCCTCATAGCCTGTAAGTCCATTTTGTCTTGAGATTGTGCAGAATTAAAGAAAGTTCTTAAATTCAGTCTTGATTTGTAAATTGACTTTCTGTCCACGCTAAGGCTGAATTGAAAGATTTTCCACAGTTCTGTGTCCTCTTCAATTTTAAGACAATTTGGTATTAAATGTTAAGACTAGGTGGAATTTCAAGCCTTGTGTATTACACTATTTGTATCATGCTGCAACTTCCACTGTAGTTAATGAATCATTTGGAGAATGTGGATACTGTCAATGTTGAAGCAAAACAAATTTTCTGGAAAATTATTATTTCCTCTGTAAATTCACATTATTCCAATGTAGAGTTTCAATGTGGACATTCCAGCCCTCCCAAAGATTTCCCTTGTTGTTTGGGCTTTTTGTTTGGTTGAGTACTGGAGTATTTGACTTGGAGCAAGAAGCTATTCATTTTACGCCTTTTAAAATATTTCCTCAACAGAAAGAAAAATATGGCTGCCATTGCTGGTGTGATCAACCAATGTGAAAATTTTAAGACCATAATATACATTATATTGGCATGAAGTAGTTGGAGGGTATAAACTTGACTCATATCTGTAATGTTTTACTGTGGCTGCTAGATTCGCCATGGCTGTAAGTTTCATCTGAAATGGCAGCACTTGAGATCCTAGCATAGGTTTACACTGCTGAGCAGTTCTGGAGGAATGTTGGACTGTTAAGGAATCTATCCATTCAATTTGATATTAACCAACATGCCATCTGTCTATTCAGATCTAAATGTTAAAGATCGCACACTATTCAATAAGAGAAGGCAATTTTACCTGGTGTGCTAAGTCGCCAATCCTAAAATTAATTTAAGATAATACTTGCATTTGGTATAGTACCTCATTACATCAAAACCGCTTCACTTAGTTTTTACCATAGACTGCATAGTGCATTCCACCATTAACAGTGTGCAATGCCTCCAACTATTAACGTACACCACGTATGCCACGAATCTTTTTAATAATAATAATCCTTGCATTTGATGCAGCATCTTATCACATCATTGTAATGTGCTTCACAGGATATTTTGTGGGTGAAATGCGGTAGCCAATCTTGCACAGCAGTGTCCCACAAACAGTCGTGGATTGAGTGACCAAATTATTATTATTTTTTAGAGTAATTATTAGCCGAGAAAAGCGATCTGCCAATCGACTAACAACTGGCTTCCTACATGTTTTTGTATTTCTAGGCAGCAAATTGCGGCAATGTGACTTCACTCTCATTGCCTATTATTATTCTCTTATTATTGTAGATGGATCCTAAAGCCCACAGTTTGTGGCAGTGTAAGTAGTGCCAAGCTTATGGCTGCAGTGTTTGCATTGTAGAGTACTCTTGGCTACAAGAGTGAACAAAATATGAAAGCAACTTGTTCTTAATCCTTTTTGTTACCAGGTAATTTTCCAGATAACTGCAAAATTGAAGCATGTGCCATGATTCCTGAAGAGGAGATGGAAAGCGTTCGACTCAATTGGGAAAATGATCAGGATTTGAAATGGAAATTACTTCTGCCGGTTACTAAGGTATAAAGTAACATTTTAGGGCTCCTGTGAAATGTTACTGTATTTTAATAAAACCTCTTACATAACAGAGATTATGATGTTTTAGGGGGAGATAGATAACTACTTGGGAAGTAACAGGGATTAAGTGATATGGAGAAATGGTCTGTCAATAATAAAATGTCAGAACTTTATTATTTAAATAAATGCAGAACAGTTTACTGCCCCTTTAATGAGATTGTTGCTTTACAAATTGTCTGGTATTGTTACATATTCATCTATTTTCTGGTTAAAACACGATTGTCTCTCTGGGGTTAATGGATGGGTTGACCTATTTTCCCAAGAATCGGGTTTTGACACAATTGTTGCTAGGGTTTCACTTATTTCATGATTGATTGACTGAGATAGCAATGTCAGAGCTTTCAAAAGTTTTTGTCTTGCCCCCTGGCTGGAGAGTTGCTATTGTTATTGCAGTTAGTGATTGCAGAACCTTCAAATGAGAAATAGGCCTCCTGGGATTTACAAAGATCCTTAGTTAAAATTTAAAGAATAACTCCTCACTTGTAATTGAGAAAACAGGAGCTAAACAAGTAGCATTCACTTTTGGATAAATTGTGTGCATCATTTTTTATTTTGCGCAGATTACCCAGAACTGTAAGTGAATTTATAAATTATTTTGAGTTAAATGTCTTTATGTTTAGCGAACTTTTCTCACAGACATGAGTTGCTTTACTACAGCAGCTGATGGTTCATATTCTCAAACATGGCAAGTCACTTTTGCTAACAGTTTTTTTTCATTATTTTTGGTCGGCTGGGTTTCTGAGACATGCGGAGATCATCACTATGCTGAAGAGTATCCACATATGTATGCCACCTAAACATGGAACTTTCCCTGTGTCTGGAACAGAATGCACACTCTCGACCTAAAGGGATGCACTCTGTTCACCTAAATTCAGAGAGTGTTAGATGCAGTTTGGTGAGAGACGAGGCTTGGAGATTCGTGAGTGCATTTTTGGGTGCTGGTGGAGTTTAAGCAGCTAAAATCAAATGGCTTGTCATTGCGAGCACTGTCTGGCAAGCTTCCTGCTTCTTGTCCAGTTACCAATTAGGTCAATTAGGGCTTTGGTTTGCAGTGGATGATCATATCCTGAATGCTGGAAATAGTAATTTTTTGTTCCCTCTTTATGATAAATATTCTCATTATAAAAACACATTCAAGAGATCACAACGGTGTATGGTTAACCCTAATTATAAATGTCTCTTGTGGCCTTTTTCCCCTTCTCCACCCCCGCCCCGCACCCCCACCCTCACCTACACAAAACATGTTCTTGAATGTCAGTGTCCCTTTAAATAATGCAATCCTATAATAATGACTCCATGTTTTCCTTTTCAATTTCAGCTACATCCACATCTGCAGCATTTCTTTGAAGGCAGTGCCATCAAAATGAGCGAGACCATAACTCACGTGCGTCTAATCATGGCCCCAGATGGAGGGATCAGTAGGATGAGGCTGACAGGGCACCCAAGCACCCTGCCTACTGTAAACCAGTGAGGAGCAGCTCTTCAAATCAACCCCCAACCCCCTATCCAAGGCTCTCAGTTACACCAATTAAATCTATTCAATCTTTCCATCTTCTGGACTACTCCATGTTATAGAAATTTGTTGTACAATCATACAATCATAGAATCTTACAGCAAAAAAGAAGACCATTTGGCCCATTGTGCCCGTGCCGGTGCTTTGAATGAGCTACCAACTCGTTCCACACCCCCGCTCTTACCCCATAGCCCTGCAAATTTATCTTTTTTAAGTATTATGAAGCATAAATTTCTTGTGTTCTAATGAGGATGGAATATATATTATTAAGGTATTAGGGTATATCATTACTAGAATATATAATAATAATATTAATCCTTGCATTCGATATAGCACTTCTAGACATCTCGAGACAATACACGGAACATACTGTAAAGTGAATTGACTGTACTTTTTGTGGGCAAAATATGAAAAAGATAATAATCCTTTGAGACGTGTCGAAGACATGATAAGGCACTATATCAAATGTAAGGATTATTATTATATAAAATTATTTACTATGAAAGTTGTTATTGATTTTTTTCTAAAATTTGAGGGACGTAACCTATAATTCGATACGTCTGACTGTATAGCGGAACATAACTAAGTGATGGGCAAATACCTGCAGGGATGAATCGATACAGGAAATTGCATGACCTAATAAAGATGCATTAGTAATAGTAGTAATTATATGCTGTGAAAATCCTATTCTGGACTTACCCGAGCATGTGGCAAGTCTGATCTAGAGATGCTATAACCTGTATGTTACTTTTTCACTTTAACAAAACAATGTATGGGTGCTCTCACTGGCTGGTTTTAATGAATTAAAATGAAAATGTTCAGAATTGATGGATTCTGAAAATTATGTCCTTCATCTGTTTATTACAGCTAACCTCAGTGCTTTTTTTGTTCTCTTGGCAGCTGGTAATAATAACACTTATAATAATAATCCTTGCATTTGATAAAGAGCCTTATCACGTCTTCGAGACAACAACAACAAATGACATTTGTATAGCGCATTTCACGTCAGGACACGTCTCAAAGCACTTCACAGAATATACTGTAAAGTGAATTGACTGTATATTTTATGAGCGAAACCAGCAGCCAATTGTGCACAGCAGCATCCCACAAACAGTCGTGGATTGAGTGACAAATTGTTATTTTTAAAAAAATGTTATGCAAGGATTATTACCTCCGGAAAAGCAATGCAACCATTGACTAACAACTGGGTTCCTACTTACTGCTAGGTAAACAGGGCCATGTGGAATAAGGAAACTTGTCTAATGTTTCGCCTTGCCCGGGAATCAAACCCAGGTCCTCTCAGTTGCGGTGCAAGTGCTCAAACATATACGCTACAGAACTCCACAAAATTGTAGAGTAATGGATTACTCTATAACCTTGCTATTACTTGTTCACCTTTACTACCTGCATATCAGGGAGTAAATGTGGACAAATAGCAGAAAGATTGCCATTTAGTGTTCGTAATTGTATATTTTTAGCTGGATAAATTTCAGCAGCAACCGAATACACACGCCGGGGTTCAAACCCTTGGCTCTTGCCAACCTGCTTCTTGTACTTAGATTAGGTGAGCAGGGTGCATCCCTCCTGGGAGAAAGTGCGCATGCCATTGCAGACAAAAGGAAATTGCCATGCATATGTAGTAGTTTGCTTTGGATGCAATTAAGCATGGCTGACCTCTGGCTGACCAAAACATACCCCTGCATATTGTATTGCAATGCCACAGTTTTAATGATACATTGAGATATGTGTCCAGGGGTTTCTGATGGCACCAGTCTAGAATTTATGGCAAATGCTGGCAGATAGAGTGAGGGCTGTAAGCTTGACTGAATGGTAAATAGGGCTGGGATGGTGCCAAATAATAATAATAATAATAATAATCCTTGTATTTGATAGAGCGCCTTGTCACATATTCGAGACGTCTCAAAGTGCTTCACAGAATATACTGTAAAGTTAATTGACTATATATTATCGGCGAAACTCAGCAGCCAATTGTACACAGCAGTGACCCACAAACAGTCTTGGTTTGAGTGACCAAATTATTATTATTATATGTTAATAACATATCTTTGTTGCAATTTTCACAAAAAATGATTTTGACACACAACTGGAGTTCACTGTCTCGTGCTTGAGGGAGAAAAACTAATCAGTGTAAATGCAACAGTCTGAGAAAGAGGTAAAAAAAATGTGAAAGATTTAAGAAAGCCGCTGTCTGTTTCTGTATGCAGCAACCAGCTCTCTTACTACTTAAGTAGGTGTCAATAACTGCAATCTGTCATCAGCTCATCTCTAGAGTCATTAAAAGTGGCTCTACATCCTGAACACTTGTGAAGGGAGGATGGGGAGACATGATAGATTCATAGGAAAAATAATTTTCTCATCTCACCAGAATACTAACCCTACAGCATCATTACAATACCGCATTAAGTTCTTTTTTTAAATGAATCTAGTGTCTTGGTCTCTATCACCCTTACTGATAACTGTTCAAGCTGTTGACTGCCCTGTGTGTTAAAAACAAATACTTCCTTCTTTCTGTCCCCAAATTGAAATTGTGCCCTTTTGTGCTCCTGCCTTTTGGTATATCTAGAAGTGCTCTTCTGTGTCATTCACTTTATCCCATCAAGCTCTATTGAGCTATGCCTCAGAGCGCAAGTAGTTGAATATAATGGGATGAAAATTGCAATTATTCATTGACTTAATAGACACGTTATTGAAACACTACAATTTCCAGTCGATTACTACACAATGGCTGTGATTGTGAATTGCTCCCTTATTATAATAATAATAATCTTTACATCTGATATAGAGCCTTCCACATCAGGAGGATGCCTCAAAGTGCATCAAAGGATTTACTGTAAAATGTCGTGACTATATATTTTGTAGGCTAACATACCAGCTAATTTTGCGCACAGCGATGTCCCACAAATAGCCATGAAGTGAATGACCAATTTTTTATGAGGAATTGTTGCCTAGGATACCATTAACGTTCACTAGGAAAGACAATGGGACCTTGATTTATAACAACACAATGCAGATTTACATTTATATATCGATTTTTACATTGAGACGGCGTCCCAAAGTGCCTAACGTTCAACATCTCTGAGACTTAGCTTGGGTTCTTTCTGAGCCAGGTAAGTGAGTAGATATTGTGCAACATTTATTCAGTGCACTTTTGACTTGAGCGAAAGAGAAATCCAATTTGGAAGTCTTTGTAAATCTGCAAAACAGATGTGGTGTTTGTCATTGGTTTTGATGAGCAGCAGAGACTGTGTAGAACTTGGATGAAAGGCACACCCATAAAGATAGCAGAGATGTCACTCTCCCTAATAAGTTTCAACCAGGACTGACACATTTTCCCTCAATTTGAGTATTTTAACCAGAACAAGTATTTTAGCAAAATTGTTGTGTGAAACCCCATACATTTCCTTTCTTATGTACTTCAACTACAATAATCTGGAATGGTGGAAATTACTTTCCCAGGGATTCTGAAATAACCTTCAGTTTGAACCTTAAATAATGGATTGCAAAACATAACGGCTGAATTAGGTGGATGTTCGTAGTGGAAAAAATACTTCAGCATTTATGTGGTGCTATTATTGTTCATCTAAAAATCATAGAAACCATAAGGGGCAGTCAGCATAGATTTAAAAGCAATATGTTCTGCCTCACTTAACCGCTGGAATTCTTTGAGGAGGTAAGTAAATCTAGTGGAAGAGAGCTTTCACACAATACACATGAATTTTCAGAAGAGACACAAACTTGAAGCTCAGACACGGTGGACTGCTATTCATTGACAAAGGTGGGAAAGTAAAAAGGTTGGTATGTGCTTATCAATAGTTCGCTGAGATTAACTAAGTAGTATTGTATAAGGTTCTTGCCAAGAAAGTTAATCGTGGTCTAGGATGTATCCTTAGGGCATTTATTCTGCAAGTATGATACGCTTTATAACTCATTGGCCAGATAAGAGGAAAAAGCACATCAGACCTGAAAACCCAGTTATGAGGATACACTGATAGAATTGGGTTAGTCTGTGAAAAAGACTTGGCAGGAGATTATTTGAAGTACTTTGAGAAGTCCTCCTGACGTGAAAGGCACTTTATAAATGTAAGTTGTATTGTATTATTCGGGTCTCTGTATTGTTGGATAAAACAGATACAAGCAACTTATTTTATTTGCCTGGGAAAATGAGCCACTGCTATGTCAGGTCAGACCCAGGAATTGATTACAGATCAGAACTTGGGATTGATTTCCAGGATTTCTACAGCTCTTATCTCCACATCACCTGAATATCTTAGGAATGGATGGAACCTGTAATAGTGTAACACTAGCTTGTACATGAACAGAGTTTCAGTAAAGGTTATGAATGTGGTTATCAGTAGATTTGTTTTCAGACAGAGATGGAGGGATTACTTTAAACAAAGAGTACTGCCCAAGACTTTGTATTTCCTTTAATGTCCTTGGAAAGGATATGGATGGATGCTGGCTCTGTGAGTACTTGTGGTGTCTTGTAGCTCAGTGGTTGGAGCACTCACCTTGCAAGTGAGAGACCTGGGAACGATTCCTGGCCGGGCGAAACATTGGGCAAGTTTCCTTACTCCACATGCCTCTGTTTACCTAGCAGTAAGTAGGAACCCGGTTGTTAGTCGATTGGTAGATCACTTTTCCGGGGGTAATAATTCCTTCAAAAAAAATTGGTCACCCAATCCATGACTGTTTGGGGGACACTGCTGTGTGCAATTGGCTGCTGCGTTTCGCCCACAAAATATACAGTCAATTCACTTTACAATATATTCTGTGAAGTGCTTTGAGACGTCTAGAAAACGTGATGAGGCGCTATTTCTAATGCAAGGATTATTATTATTATTAGATTAATATACTGCTGCTAGCTTCTCCTACATGACTAATATTACAAGACTTATCACTTATATTACTGTTGGTAATTGAGCACTTACAGTACTTAACCCTACTCCACAACATTCATGTAATATTAAAAATAACCCTAATTGACCAGTGCCAGCTTGACTAACACCTCATTTAACTTTCCCTTTGTGGCCGATGGCAACCCTATCACTGGTGACTGACAAAATAAATGAGACCATGGGAGGATTTTATTACCCTGTCCTGTGGTGGCTTCAGTTTCAGCTTGTGGCTGGAAGGAAATGTCTTTCTGCCCCTCAATGCATACTGAGCTTGAATCCTGCACAGAATCGACACGGCAGCAAAGTAAATGGAGTGTTGGTGCGTGCAGCATTAGTTTGTGCCACTCTCCAACCCTCTGGTGCCAATTATAAATATACTATAAACATTCCATTTATTATGGCTGTTTGTGGGACACTGCTGTGCGCAACTGGCTGCCGCGTTTCACCCACAAAAAAACAGTCAATCTACTTAATAATATATCCTGTGAAGCTATTTGAGATGTCTCATGGATGTGATAAGGCGCCATATCAAATGCAAGGATTATTCTTCTTCTTATTATTATTATTATTAGATGGGGGTAGCACATGGGGAATAAGACCGGAATTGAGCTATTTGCTTCTAGGATTGATTGTGCTGATTGATAGTGGAAGAAGTAATGTCCTCTGCTTATTAATGGCACCATGTCAAGTTAGCTTTATAGCATTGTTAGATGGTCTGGCTAGTTTCACTGATTTGTAACTGCACAATAAAACACTGCCTACAAGCACGCACAACACTCCACTCACTGGGATCCAAATGCTGTTGACCTTTATAATGTCATTGAAGAGCTGACTCTCCTGTTGGCTCTTTGGGAAGGTGAAATATAATTTGTTGTTGTTGTTGGTGTAATATAAAGGTGGTTGAGCAG